CAGTCAAACCAGAAACACACGCATAAAGAACCTGTTTGAGAACAAGCCAACTCTGTGTGTGTGTGTGTGTGTGTGTGTTTGTTGTGATTTAAACATAAATTCTCCTCACAATTGATGACCTTATATGGGCACAAATATACACACACAGACTCTCTTTCTCACACACACACGATTCTTTTTTTCTTGTGATGTCACTAAACCATAACCATAAAAAAAGATTGTAAAAATTATGATTTAAACATCTGCAGTTCAAATAATACAAATTTTAAAAAAGTTTAAAAGTGTTAAACTAAAAATAATAATGAAAAGCGGTTACTTCTGTAAACGAAGGAGAACTTATATATTATTTTTATTTAATGTTTGTTAGGCAGGGACAAATGCATGGAACGTGACTCGTGTGTGACGCTTTACAATTAAAGCAGAAATTACAGAAGATTGAGTTTCAACAACTATTAAATACTGTACATACAATAAACACCTTGCTCTGTTCTGTTCGTGACTCTCCTGTTCGAACTCGTTTATCAAAATGAACGAAGCTTTTTCGTGTCATTTGTTTCATTCAACAAAAAAATTAATGAATTTACTCAGGAAAAGATTTGTTCATTTTAATGAACGAGTTCGAACAGGAGAGTCACGAACGCGCATCACAGAACAGAGCAATGCGAGCATTTGAGCTTATTAAACTTAAACTGTATTATTTATTTATTAAATGAGCGATCGTTTCGCTTGATAAGACCCTTATTCATCGTCTGGAATCGTTTGAACAGTTTGCACTGAAACTCTCATTTGGACCTTGAACCGTTTGGTCCCCATTGAAGTCCATTATATGGAGAAAATCCTGGAATGTTTTCATCAAAAACCTTAATTTCTTTTCGACTGAAGAAAGAAAGACATGGACATCTCGGATGACACGGGGGTGAGGAAATTACCAGCAAACTTTTTTTCTAAAGTGAACTACTCCTTTAATGCTGGTGATGAATAATGTATTATTTCAACATGAGGGTTTAGAGTTGACTGAAATATGATCGGAAACTCTTCAAAAATGGAAAACGCAGTAAAGAGCAATATATATATAAAGTCATATCGCATCGGCAACATAAAACTATCATGAGAACATTTTAACTGTGTGTTTGGGACGTGGATTTAAGAGTTTGTAAAGACTGTCCCACCGTGACTCTCAGTTTATCTGCAGATCTCAGAGTTACTGAGACGAGGAACACACACACACACACACACACACACACACACACACACACACACACACACACACACACACGGACATCTGTGACAAGGACAAACACAGTCTCTACTAAACCATCATCAGTGCGCTTCGTCTTAAGGAATCTGTGTGTGTGTGTGTGTGTGTGTGTGTGTGTGTGTGTCTTCTGGCTCTGATGAAAACCAGTCCGGCTATTTTCAGATCTCTTTCTCCCCAACTCTCTTTCTTCCACAACCAAATATGGTCTGTGTGGGATGAAGGATGAAGGTTTTGTGGCTTTCTGGAGAATCTCACACACACACACACACACACACACACAAACACACAGAAACAGCTGCACTTTTAGTCAGCGCTGTCATTAGTCAGTTGAAGTCAAAACGGACAGCTCGTGTTTGTTGTGGAATAATGCGGTGTTTATTCGACATGATTTATGGCTGCGCATCTTTAGGATATCGTGTTAATAACGAGTCAGAATCAGCTCCTCTCAACAGCTCTTCTGTTCTCTGATGACGAGGGCGGGGCTTTAACCCGTCACTCAAAGGAGATCAGCCAATAGCAAACCACGACCATCCAATCAGTTCCCCACACACACAATCATCAGATCTCGTTCCTGAAGCGTCTCGATATACGACACGAGCGAATCGTCCCTATCAGGACTAGTTTAAACATTATTGTGAATAACTTGCACATTAACGGAGTCATTAGTGACTATTATTAATGAATTTACACAGAATATGTAAATGACTGAAGAACTGAGTAAAAGAACATTAAAGGGAACATGATCCTTCATTTACTCGCTCGCCTCTTCCTTTCCCTGTTCTGGAGACGTTCGGGAAGTCTCAGTGTTGTTTGCTTTCCAACTTTCTTCAAAATATCTTCTGTTACAAGACAGTGATGATGATGAAGATGAGGAGATGAAGGCAGAACATCACGTTCGGGAGAACTAAAGCTTTAGCAGTACAAAACAGCCCAGACATGTTCAATATTCAACTAAATATCTGTTGATTAATTCATATGACTGACACACACACACCATCTCAACACCTGCGCTTCAGCAGTTATGAATCACTTAATAATATGAAAAAAATCACATGACTTGCATATTTGTAAATTCACACTAACAATTTCAGTCCTTATAAAATCAGATCATTTCGACACAAGCGACAGAACATGGTTTTGCTTGTTTACGTCACACAATAAAGAACAACACATTCTCCAAATAACTCCAGTATTGTTTTTGCTGACGTCACCGATGGGGCGTGACGTCATTTCAAAACAGTGTGAGGACAGACTCATCTTACATGCTAACAAACAATAACTCCAAAGACACTGAAACACACGGGAATGATGTGAGCTTTCAGATCAGGGAGTTGCTGCTGTATGGAGTGACGATAAACTTGTAGTTGAGATTTACAGCAACAGGAACACACGACAACAGAAACACGCGAACATACTCGACACATCACGTCTGACATCCCGAAATAAAACACAAAATCACACATCATGTGACACTGAAGGGAATTGAACCGGTGCGCGCGTTTGTTGTCGCAGGCCGAGCTGACATATTCTCTCTCTCTCACACAAACACACACACACACACACACACACACACACACACTCACGGGCCTTTCGGACACAACCCCGCTGGAATGAGCGAGTACACCCGCCAGACTCGATCCCACAGACCCGATCCCTGACGCCGAGGAGAGAGAGAGGGGAGAGAGAGGTGCCGATGAGCGCTACTCACCCTCCAGTAATCTGGAGATCAGAGAATCCACGTCCAGCTCCTCCGCCATTACTGACTGACTGACACCCGCAGCGCGCTCGAACACTGGGCGGGCACGCGGCGCGCGCACGAGTCTCCTGACCTTCACGGAGGCGGTTACGCGCTGAACCGAAACACCCAGTCACTCCTACGCCGCACCTGCAGTTTTACGAGCTTTATTTATTTATTCATTCAAAGTAAACGAATCATAATATATTCACGCTTTGTATTTCTATCTGTGTATCTTTTTACATGTATTATTTCTTTTATTTTTCTCTTGGTATTTTCATTGTGTAAAGTGCCCTGAGAAGCTGCATTAATAAAAGCTGTAAATTTGAGACGAAATCAACTGTTGGATTTATTTATTAGACATTCAGAGGATTTATTAAGGTAGCTTAGAGTTATTTACAGGATTGGGCAAAGTATTGCGTTACTCCCTAAAACTAGATACTTGAACAAATAATCTGATTACATAACTCAAGTTACCCCAACACTGGTTATTTGTTGTGATATTTAAATAGAGTGTGATTACAGTTTTCTGTGATAGTTCAGACTGTCAGTTTATCTAAGCGCGCACACACACGACACTAGGTGGCGGTATAATAAAAAGGCGATTTAGTTTATATCCCCAAGTGAAATACAAGTCACTCTGTAACACAATACAAACACCCAAATTTTAAACTGAGACGTGACGTTTTTTTTTTTGGTTGGAATTTCATGGTCATTTAAACGCACTGGACCTCATTCAAATCAACCATCACATTAATTCATCTACAGCATCATCAGCTCTTTACAGGAGAGTGTGTGTGGCTCTTAAAAGAGCCTTTGTGAGTGTGTGAGCGGCTGCGGCTCTACTTGGAGCTGGTGTACTTGGTGACGGCCTTGGTGCCCTCAGACACGGCGTGTTTGGCCAGCTCTCCGGGCAGCAGCAGACGCACGGCGGTCTGGATCTCTCTCGACGTGATGGTGGAGCGCTTGTTATAGTGAGCGAGACGAGACGCCTCACCGGCGATGCGCTCGAAGATGTCGTTGACGAAAGAGTTCATGATGCCCATCGCCTTGGAGGAGATGCCGGTGTCAGGGTGAACCTGCTTCAGCACTTTATAGACGTAGATGGCGTAGCTCTCCTTCCTGGACTTTCTGCGCTTCTTGCCGCCCTTCGCGGCGCTCTTGGTGACGGCCTTCTTGGAGCCTTTCTTAGGCGCAGACTTGGCTGGTTCAGGCATGATAGAGTGATCTCAGAATTAACGAGTCAGTCAATATGTGAATACAGGAGCGATACTGAGGCTTTTATTTACTGCACTATGCTAATAGGGCGAACCCGTAAACTCATTGGACAACTCAAATCATCGTGAGCGGAACAAAGGCCAATTACAGGCGGTTAAATTATATCCCCGCCCACCGCTTGAACCAGAGCGTTGTTTCTTTTGTTTCATTTCCGCTAAAGTCCGATCTTTCCTACTCCGTTTCGAGCAATTGATTGATTTATATTGTTAAAAAAAATCAAATACTTCTTATTTCCTTTGTTATATGGCACTACATTGCTCGAAAAAAGTTAATACATAGTGATATTTTGATAAATGAAGCTGTTTAAGACATATCCTGCACCATCATTTAATTAAAACCCCATAAACACATTTCAAGGAGTTTCGCAGAAAAGAGACCAATAATGGTCAGACTCCCTTTAAAAACAGATTTTCCTCAGAACTTCATGGATTCATGCATCAGTTTACACTACAGGAGCAACAAATAAAGCCTATTTTAGTGGGGGAAAGCTACCAAAAACATATTTTGGTATGGTTTCTGATTTGTCATTTATTCAATCTGCAAAACACATTTTAGCATCTGTAAATGAGAACTGTAACTAAATCTGTATTTTAAAACTCTTCTTTTGAGAACGAAAATGAAATTGCTCTAATTATATTAACACATCAAACTTTAATTAAGAAGTCAATAGGAATATGTTCATCTAGAATGTTTTTTTTTTTTTATCGGTATGATTGACATTAACTCTTTAAGTGCGGGAGTGTGTGGCTCTTAAAAGAGCCGTTGGGTCCGTCAGATTCTCCGGGTTTCAGGCGTTTATCCCCCGAAGCCGTACAAGGTGCGTCCCTGCCGCTTCAGCGCGTACACAACATCCATGGCGGTGACGGTCTTTCTCTTGGCGTGCTCGGTGTAGGTGACGGCATCGCGGATAACGTTCTCCAGAAACACCTTCAACACACCGCGGGTCTCCTCGTAGATCAGCCCGGAGATGCGCTTGACGCCGCCGCGACGAGCCAGACGCCGAATGGCGGGTTTGGTGATTCCCTGGATGTTATCGCGCAGAACTTTACGATGACGCTTCGCGCCTCCTTTTCCAAGCCCTTTCCCGCCTTTGCCTCTTCCAGACATGGTGTTCACAAGATCGTTGATTAAGTCAGATAATGACCAAGAATGAAGAACGAGGCTGAAGGCAGACATTTTACTTGTGCTTACAGGACCTGACAGAAACCAGCGAGGCGTCACATGCACGCCCCCCTCCCCCAAAATAATAGAGCGCGAAACTTTTAACCGCCACTCCTTGAGGAGCCATTCCCTTGTTTTAAATAAAATATTAATATATATTTATTTTATTAGGTTATTTACAGTAGTACTGGATAATAATGATTAGGGCTGTTATACAAGCTCAACAAAGTAAACAAAGACGGACAAAAGTCATCAAATCACAATATTGATCACAGTAAAATTGTGAATAATGACATCTGTGATATTCTTTTTATGCCCCCTGTCTAGTTTGTTTTTCATTGCTTGACCAGTTTTCAAAACTCTACACACTTATCCCATGACTTTAACCACAACCTGCACAACACTGTGGATTTACAGCACTTTGTACAAACGCTTACACACTGCTGTCAAAACTGAACCACACATTCAAAACAGAATAAATTTCAGTCTTGTTCCTTTCACACACTGTTGATTTTCAAACAATTTCAGCTGAAAGGCTGGAAACCTGTCCTGATGCTGGAGGCAGGATTAGCCCCTCAATTATGTGTTCAAATTCTATTCTAAAAATGTAAATAAATCATATGAAAGAATGTCACTATTTTCTTCGAAGAAAATATTACTTTGTATGAAGTCACTGAAATTGTTCAAACTGTAAAGATGAAAAGTGTGTATTTTCTGTATTGGTGTTTGATGCTACTGTTTTTACTCTCTGTGTGTTCTGAGTGACAGTGTGTGTTATCTCAGTGAGGGTTGTGCATAGTGTTGTGCACACTGAGCCTTTTGAGCCGTGTGTTTAGAGTTGTGTTGCTTGGAGCTTTGCAGGTGTTGTGAACTGTTAAGCGCAGGTGCCTGTTGGTAGTGCAGACTGTAGATAGAGTTTTGCACATTTAGCTGTGTTCACTGCCGTTTGGCAAATGGCAATCGAAAAAAGTAAAACTACAATCACTGGCTGTCTGATCCAAATGCCACAAACTCCCAAATGAGACGAAATGGGCCAATTGTATGTTCTAGATCGGAAACAATAGCATTTGCTACTTTCCCTAATATCGCCTTGACCAAGCTTTTGCTTATGTTAGATCACACACTGCACGGGACCTTGTTTTATAATACCCAGACAATTCAACAAATAACGTTAGTGGAAATCATCTCTTTTAAAGTAAGTGGTGGCTCTTAAAAGAGCCGTTGGGGTTTGATGCGCGTGCACAGCAGCGGGGGCGGATTTAAGCGCGCTCTCCACGGATGCGGCGCGCCAGCTGGATGTCCTTGGGCATGATGGTGACTCTCTTGGCGTGGATGGCGCACAGGTTGGTGTCCTCAAACAGACCCACCAGATAAGCCTCGCTGGCCTCCTGCAGGGCCATGACAGCGGAGCTCTGGAAGCGCAGGTCAGTCTTGAAGTCCTGGGCGATTTCTCTCACCAGCCGCTGGAAAGGCAGTTTGCGGATCAGCAGCTCAGTGGACTTCTGATAGCGGCGGATCTCCCGCAGAGCCACGGTCCCGGGCCGGTACCGATGGGGCTTCTTGACGCCGCCGGTGGCGGGCGCGCTCTTCCGCGCTGCTTTAGTCGCGAGCTGCTTCCTCGGGGCTTTGCCACCGGTGGATTTACGAGCGGTCTGCTTGGTTCTTGCCATCGCTGCAGTTTCTGCTGTATGTCTTCTGCTTGTGCTAGAAATGCTGTTTCTGTTACACACCTCCTGCTTTTATAGCATTGGACCGTCACGATGATGTAAGGCTTGTGATTGGCTAGTGTGTGAATGTTTATACAACTAGCCAATGACTGCGCGTTTCCTCTTTTCAAACAAGCGGAGTGTTTCCCGCTCAAGACGCTTTGTTCTGTTTATTACTTTACTCAACCCTAAACTATAGACCATTTTGCAAGATGTAAACAACACTGGTCCAGAAGCACTTCCTGTTTCAGTTTTTTAACACTACATAAAAGCTGGGATAAAATAAAACCAACAGAACATATAAAACTGAATCAAAAAGTTAAACAAACATCTTTAAGATGTTTTCTTTACATGTGAAATAAAGAAAACAGTTACAAACTGAAACAGGAAGTGTTTCTGGACCAGTGCTGTTTACATCTTGCAAAATGGTCTATATAGGCTTTATTCTCAAATCTCACATTTCTGTATTTATTTGTTCTGAAATACTCGCCTTAATTCCCAGTAGTTGTGCAGATCTCGGATCAGAACAAAATCACATTAATGTGTCTATATAAAAGCACTGCAGCCAGAAATTAAGGCATACTTGTTGCCATCCGGATGGTAATGGGCAAAAGACCCAAATTAACATAAACTATTTTCTGTTACATTAGTTCTCTGAAGCCATTGCATATTTTGCTGCTTATTTTTGGATAATCAGTTATAATACTCAAATTACATAATCAGAACTTGAAATAAACTTATTAGGGAAGATGGGTTTGGGACAGCAACATTCCATAGCCTATGCCATTGCCAAACATTATTAGGAGATCATGTTTACAGGCATGGACTAACTTGTGTGTATTATATTGCTGAACATCATACGATTTGACGATTCGATTTGAACATCATCACTCCTTACTTTTTCCTCAATAAAAAGAGTATTTAGTAACTTTATTTCGTTTTATATTTCTTAACAAAATGAGTATACAGTCCTGGTAAATATTAAGAAAAAGCGCTCTCTATCAGATGGAATGAGTGGCTCTGAAAAGAGCCGTTGGTTGTCAGTGAGGGACCGGAGCATTATTTGGCCTTGGCGGGCTTCTCGGTCTTCTTGGGCAGCAGCACGGCCTGGATGTTGGGCAACACGCCGCCCTGAGCGATGGTCACTCCGCCCAGAAGCTTGTTCAGCTCCTCGTCATTGCGCACCGCCAGCTGCAGGTGCCGGGGGATGATGCGGGTCTTCTTGTTGTCCCGAGCGGCGTTTCCAGCCAGCTCCAGGATCTCAGCGGTCAGATACTCGAGCACAGCCGCCAGATACACAGGAGCTCCGGCACCGACGCGCTCGGCGTAGTTGCCTTTACGGAGGAGCCTGTGGACACGGCCGACGGGGAACTGCAGTCCTGCCCTGGAAGAGCGAGTCTTGGCCTTTGCTCGGGCCTTGCCGCCGGTTTTGCCTCTGCCGCTCATTTTCTTGATTAGTTTTCAAAATTTTCACAGTGAAAAACAACAGAATGAAGTGCAGCGTTTCCACATCCTGTTTATAAAGGAGAGAACCAGTCGCTCATTGGCTCAGAGTCTGTTAACATTTCAACCAATCACTGAACTTCCCTCCAAAGCCCAACCCCCTTTCTGGCGGGAATAATTATGCACAAGTTACGGTAAAGACTACTATGCAGTTAAAGGTTACTAAGAGGACTGACTGGTAATAAAGGACATTTTATTAATCACCTAGTCAAAAACATATTGGAAAACTGCTGGGAATAAGAGCAGACATATCAAATATTTTTGGCTGGACAGCAGACTCAACACATAGGCATCAATAATAACATTAGCCCCACGGGCTCTGCCAGTCTATCCACTAACAGTTGTTTTGCAAATGAAAACCAGAAATAGGTTCCAAAAAGAGACAATAGTGCAGCAGTATTTAAAAACCTAATACTTTATTGTCAGAAGTACATTGGAATCCTCTGTTGCTTCAGCGTATATATAATGAGTTATTAAAATCAAGGTATTAATCTATAGGCCTATTTATTAATCAGGTTGATCTGAAGTAGTAATAGAGGAGACAGTAGAACATCTATTGAAGAAATGTCAGGCTTATAAAGGAGGATTAGAATTGCAAGCTGTAGGATGCCTGGAATTCAACTTATTAAATAATGGTCCAAATTCTGGAAAATAAATAAATGCAATTATGAGATTTATTAAGAGGAGTATTTAGTTCATTCTTTTCTCATTCCATAACAGTAGGTGGCGGTGTGCACCTTTAATGTTGTTTCGCAAGCTGCCATGAAACCAGAAGAAGAAGAAGAAGAAGAAGGAAGAAGTTGAAAATAAATAGTTGGCAACACTGGGTGAAGAAACGAGAGGATTGTAGGAAAATGGCAGATCATGGAAATAAGTGTTATGTTCCAGGCTGTAAAGCGGGTGTGAGGACTTTTCATACCCTTCCGTCAGAGAAGAAATGTCAACAGGCGTGGTTGATGTTTATTTACAATCGGATACCGCAACACTTTAATGCGAAGTTGTTAGTTTGCTCTGGCCATTTCACCACGGACTTATTCTCTAACCTGGGACAATATCAAGCCGGCTTCTCTCAGCGTCTCACACTGAAGAAGGGGGCAGTTCCAACTATATCCCCGCGAGCGGTAAACTGGTGATTTTATCAACGATCTAGATCCTAGTACGGGAACAACAGCAAACTCCGAGCATACATAACTAAATAGTATACGCTGAGATAAACATTTCTTGTCTGTGTTGTCATATGCATCTATAAAATAATTCTGTAGATACGTAAATTCCCTTTTATCAAATAATTTTACTTTCCACTGTTACATCAACTACGATTTAGTTCACTTGCTCCTTCTATCGTCACATTCTCCACCACATAAGTTGAAGTATTTATTTGACAAGGCGTCTAACGTCAGTCCATTTGTTAAAATGTTTTAATTTATGAAAACAAGGGACGTTTGATTATTGTGCACGCGTGTATTTCAGAGTGCACCACAGCGCTTGCGCACTAATGATGTCGGCTGCCAAACAGATCCTGTGGTCCTGAGTATTGGAACACGGTCTCTGAACACAATGAGCTCCCACCTTCGAAGCAAAGGTAATGTTAAAGGTAGTGTATATGTGCACTTAATGATTATTGTGTACGATTATTAAATGCCAGCTTGTTTAACTCATTAAATCAGCTAATTCTATTCATATTCATCAAGATCCTTCTGCGCTAATGTACAGAAAAGATGACTTGTGGCACGCTATTGAAATCTTGCTTGGGTTAACATTATTCCCCTATACTAATTATATATATTTTTACTGGTAGGCACACAGACGACAGTGCCATCTCAAAGTGTGGCGGTAGGCACCACAACTACTGAAATAGATCCATTTACATCAGCACCACTGAAGGCTTCGAGGCCTGCCAAAAGACCCCGTGTTGAATTTGAAGAGGAAATATTCCCCATTTCCGTGTCCTCCTCCGAGACTGATCCACAAGCACGGTCTGTTACAGCCGAGACAGAATCACCACACGTTTTGTAAGTTGCATTTCTGTAACAAATCAGCAATTAATACACAAACTGTGTTTTAGTTTCACTAACAAGCACAATGTATTTTTTTCTTTCAGTGCCACATCAATGCCATTCCACAAGGATGCAAAGTACATTGTTTTTGAGAACTGTCTCCTCAGCCTGTTCGAGAGTTGTCCCGTTTGCTCCAGGGCTTGTGATGTCTGCCCACGCAGAAGAGGAACGTTTATATCCATCGCCCAGCTGTGCGCTTCCTGTGGGTTCTCCAGGCGGTGGCGGAGCCAGCCGGTGATCGGCAGCTCTCCCGCGGGTGACCTTCAGCTGTCCGCCGCCGTCTATTTCAGCGGAGCTTCCTTCCTCAACATGCAAAAGGTATTGTGTCATCATGTGTACCCCCAAATCTAGACAGGACAACTAATTATTTTACAATTGTTTTGTTTTTAAAAAGGTGTTCAGGGCGATGCACCTGAAAACGCATACATATGATGCTTTTAGAAGACATGCCAGGACATACCTTGAGCCTGCAATCATATACAAGTGGAGCGAGGAGCAGAATCTGCAACGGCGCGACCTGAGCCGCAGCAAGAACGTCATTCTCGCTGGAGACATGCGGGCAGACTCGCCAGGTGCATGTTTTTAAATCACTTTCTCTTTCTGTCTTCTATGAAGATACAACAAGTAATTGAAAATATTAAGATTATGTGTTTCTGTCTTTACTTGAAAACAAAAGTCACTATAATTTTTTTTTTATGGCAGGACATTCTGCAAAATATGGGAGCTACACTATGATGGACTTGCAGACCAACAACATAATAGACATACAGCTGGTGCAGGTACTTCAACACACACAGCAATTTATACATATGAAGAAGAGACTTAAAGGGTTGGTTCACTTTTGAAAAAGCTTTTGCTGATAATTTACTCGCCCCCATGTCATCCAAGATGTCCATGTCTTTATTTCAAAACTTATTCCAAAAATGTAACTTTTCTAAGGACAAATGCTAGCCTTGCTCTATTCTATTGTGCCTTCAAATTTCCCCCTGGGGACAAATAAAGTGCTTGAATGAATGAATGAATGAATTCTGTGAGGCGCGTTTGCAACGTCACGTAATACGCAATTACGTTCAAAAGGTCACGGGCGACGTAGCCAGAAGTACAGAGTCAGTGTTTACAAGTTGAACGCATAGGTTGAACGTGCAAACTAACTCAAACGCCGTTTACAAAAAAGGAATTAAAAGGTAAAACAACGATGTCGGACGATTTTGATTCTGTACTTCCGGCTACGTCGCCCGTGACCTTTTGAACGTAATTGCGTATTATACGCGCCTCACAGAATAGAGCAAGGCTAGCATTTGTCCTTAGAAAAGTTACATTTTTGGAATAAGCATTGAAATAACCGATCGTTTTGCATGATAAGACCCTTATTCATCGTCTGGTGTCGTTTAAAGACATTTGAAGCTGCATCTGAAACTGTTATTAACTGTCTTTTGGACCTTGAACCGTTTGGTCCCCATTGAAGTCCATTATATGGAGAAAAATCCTGGAATGTTTTCGTCAAAAACCTTAATTTCTTTTCGACTGAGGAAAGAAAGATATGGACATCTTGGATGACACGGGGGTGAGTAAATTATCAGCAAACGTTTTTTCAAAAGTGAACTAATCCTTTAAATATGTAATTTATGAAGATATTGCATTGCTTGTGTGTTTCTACTTAGAGCAGCGAGGTTGGGGGAAGCCGCCGCCGCATGGAGACGGAGGGCCTTCGAAGAAGCTTGGACGTCCTGGAGGAAAGCGGTGTAAAGTTGGACTGCATTGTGACTGACCGTCACCCTCACATACTAAAGTTTTTAAAGGATCGTAAAATTAACCACTATTATAACGTCTGGCACATGGTGAAAGGTAAAAGTCTAAAATATTCATGTTATTAGTAGCTATCCGTATTTCTGAAGAAGCTTACTGCATCAAATAAAAATGTTTTGCCTGTAAATTTGACCTCATCAGGATTGTCAAAGAAGCTAGAGAAAATTTCCAGAGCGAAAGGCTGTAGTTTGGTGAAGAAGTGGCATAAGAGCATCGCCAACCACCTGTACTGGTCTGCCAGCGGCGCTGATTCGGGACCGGAGAAGGTGGCCAAGTGGACCTCTATCATGAACCACATTCAGGACATTCATACACACTCTGACCCAGCATTCCCTCGCTGTCAACATCAACAAAGAGTGTCTAAGGACCGCAGCAAGTGGTTTCATCCAGGTGTGTAACCTCAGTGTGTGATTGGACAAGTAATCCTTATTAATCCTACAATATTCATGTGTTTTATATATAACATCACACTGATTTCCCCTTAGGTTCAACCGCACTGAACAAGCTTCACAGGGTCCTGATGAACGAGAGAGTCCTGTCAGATGTAGAGAAGCTGAGTCCACATTACCAGACATCAACTGTGGAGGCGTTTCACAAAGTCATCTCGCACTTTGCACCGAAACATGTTGTCTTCCCCTTCACTGGAAGGCTATGCAGGTCAGGGTTTGTCTTCTCCCTCACCTTGAACATAGGTCAGGATAGCACACATAAACAGTGATGTTCGAAAGAGGGCATACATTTTTACTGTCTCTGCAAACTGGTTTTCACAACCAAAATGCAGTTATTTAGAGATTACAGTTTACAGAATGGTATAGATTTACTGTATAAGTGCTGTTGTAATATTAGTTTATTTATTCACTATGCCAATATGAACATGTTTGATTGTCTCATCCTTTAGGCTGTACCTTGCAGCGATGCACTATAATGAGAACGCTGTCCGGCCACAAGTGAGCACATCTGAAGGGAAACCTCTCTTTCCACAGGGAGGACACGCAGGAAAAACAGAGCCAACATTTTGTAAGCTTTTTCAAAAAATTGTTTATTTTAAACAATACTTACAAATGAGCAAATCAAATAAATACAACATAACTTCTTGTAATTTACAGGCTATGTCATGAACTTGATGAATACTGTTTTTGAAGAGGTTGTCTGTGATCCCCTTCCGTATCTGGATGGCGTACAGCAGATTCCTGTGCCGGCGGACCGCTCTTCTCGGCATGGCAGACCCTCCATGGAGGAAGCCGTCGCTCGGCGTGTCACGCTTCAGTCAAGGGTCTGAATCCGCATCCTGCGTCCGGAAACATGATGGGGTGACGACACGTACACTTCGACTAAGGAAACCCCATCACTGCCTGCAGAGAGACAAACTTTGTGTGTTTTAGTATTTATTTTGTCCACAGGTCATTATGGGTCACTGCTGAGACACAATAAACGTGTCACATCAATAAGTATCTGTCATTATTGCATGTTTCTTCTTTTATAACATACATCATACGGCATGGCTGTGCAATTCATTAAACTCATGATGTAATGGATGTAACAGAGCCCAATTATATTTACACAAAACTCTGACTCTGACATGTTTGCATTTTGCAAAGAATATATATTGAGCCACACAGGTTGAAGGGCTGGATGGTCTGTCATGCATGATATCATATTAAGCACCTGTCTTATTCTTCTTGTGACCTGCAAAGGAAAAAAAAATCATAATGGCACTGTTATTTACAGTAATCTTTCATACTTTGGGAGTAGCAGAACGTGCACACATATGTTGAATACATTTCCATGACATCACTTGTCATGCGGTATATAACCTTTCATATCATTATGATTTTTGGTATATATTTTATAGTTTTCTCATGATTTTATATCATTTTATTTATTGGTTTGTTAAATACAAACACTATTACTGTTTTTACCGAATTATGTTTAATTCAGAATCTCTTCAGTTAAAGCCAAAGGGCATACTGTTGTGCGCTCAAGTGGACATCTCAAGGTCTTTTTAAAATGTGTGGGTCCATTTGTTAATAATTCATGCATGAAAGGATTGATTAAAAAGGACTTTGTTTTCTGGATCAGGATAGACTTTAATAATGAGCTCGTATCAAGACTTGAAGCATCTTTTCATTCTCATTACCCAACAGATGATACCTTCAATGTTATTTACAGAATCTTATCAATTTCTAGTGGTAAAATGTGGTTTACAGTTAGATAAGAGCAGTACCAAAGTTAGCAGAAGTGAAAATGGAGAAAATAAATAAATCTCGTATTAAAATGGGGTTTTATTTACTACTCATATAGTTTAAACTGTTTCAAATATTAATAAAAAAACTCCAAGGTTTTTAAAGGGATTGTGGCCGTTATTGGTCTCTTCCGTCCAAGCTCCCTCCATGAGTTTATAAGATTTTTTAATGGTCTAGAACCGCTTATTTTCCCAAACTACTAATAAAAAGCGGGAAGTCAAACAAAGGAAACAGCGTATTTCAAACATTTAACCGTCTATCATTTAACCGCCTGTGATTGGGCGTTGTTCCGCTCGTGATGCTTTGAGTTGTCCAATGAAACACGAGTTTACGGGTTCGGCCCATCTATGGTTCGGCCAATGATAACAACAATAAGAAGACCCAGCATCTCCTCGTAAATTAGCATAGTGCAGTGAATAAAAGCCTCAGTGTCGCTCCTATGTTCACACATTGACTGACTCGTCAGCTCTAAGATCATTTCATCATGCCTGAACCAGCCAAGTCTGCACCTAAGAAAGGCTCCAAGAAGGCCGTCACCAAGAGCGCCGCGAAGGGCGGCAAGAAGCGCAGAAAGTCCAGGAAGGAGAGCTACGCCATCTACGTCTACAAGGTGCTGAAGCAGGTTCACCCTGACACCGGCATCTCCTCCAAGGCGATGGGCATCATGAACTCTTTCGTCAACGACATCTTCGAGCGCATCGCCGGTGAGGCGTCTCGTCTCGCTCACTACAACAAGCGCTCCACCATCACGTCGAGAGAGATCCAGACCGCCGTGCGTCTGCTGCTGCCCGGAGAGCTGGCCAAACACGCCGTGTCTGAGGGCACCAAGGCCGTCACCAAGTACACCAGCTCCAAGTAGAGCCGCAGCCGCTCACACACACACAAAGGCTCTTTTAAGAGCCACACACACTCTCCTGTAAAGAGCTGATGATACTTGCGGATGTTTTGTTATTTGTAAAAAGTTGCAGGTTTTTTCTTTCAGTCCTAGTTGTTTCTTTGTTAATTTTTTGCATAATAGTATTTTCAACATAATTTATAATATGAGATGCATACTTAATACATCACTAAATGTGTGCTACTTATACTATTTTAACAAATATTGAACATAAGTATTGAAGGTTTTTATTTCTTTCATGGACTCTACCTGAGTAAATCATGTAATATTCGCTGTATTATTTAGTCAGGCTCAAAGAACTAAAGATTTTTAATGAAACTTGCTTTTTAAATTTTAAGTTCACTGAAAATTGTGTGAACTAGAGTGAACGTTCATGTTTGACTTCTATTGTATAATTAAAAACACTGTTCTTGTTCCTACTGAAATATGGATAAAAGTAATGTACCATTTAAAATGTTTGCCCATTTCTGTTTTCTCTTATTCTCCCTTGTCTTGTTTTCTTGTCTTCCTCTGATCTTTCTATTCACATTAATTCCTCCTGATTCCCTGTATTCTTCTGCGTTTCAATAAACTTCTCAATTTTTGACAATATTGTTTTCCAGCCTTTTCAAGAATTCAGCTCATCTGTCTGTTTAATGACAGAAAAAACTGTAAGATTATCAAATCACACATTAACATTAAATTATGAATTTTCAAGCATAATTTTGCACAATAAACTGTAACGAGAGTACTGTAGATTCAGGCTCTACAAGAACAATAAATGACAGGAATATGTGACTGTACAGGACTTTCTTCCTCTGTTTGCTTTAGATTATTCCTTTTTTTTCATTATTATCTAAAAATCAGTCATTTTAAACCGTCTTTCTGCTTTATATCTGTGGACCAGCAAGCTTATATTGACCCATTTTTATATAATATAACATGTAGGCCTGTTTACTGCAGCTTTTTCACACACAATGAAGGTAGACAAATAAATATAATTTTTGTTTTTATAAACTAGTAAGAAATCGGCTGGTAATATCAGCAAAGTTTATAGGGACAGTTTTTGAAAAGTGCATTAGTTCAACATAAGGCTTCAATAATTGGGTAATTTGCATTATTAAGATAATTGCTGGATCCTTAAAACCTTGTGTCACTGATGTTGTCAAAATCTCAGTCCAGCCAAATAAAGCTGGAAACTGTTGGTAAATGAATAAAATAACTCTATCATTCTTTAATCAGTTTCATTAGCAAAATTATTTCAATTTACAGTAAGCACAACAATAAGACAATATGAGTTTCTCAGTTTTGGTTCAGAGTTAAAGAGAAATGTTTGGTCTCACATGTAAGGCACAAAATATCTAATTAATATAGTTAAACATGAGATTATGATTAATATATTTTCTGTTGTTGTGAAAAAAATGGGGCTCTCATGACGCAAAGATATATTGTCATGGGTCAGAAAACTAGTATTTATAGTATGACTAAAACCCCAAAGTCTGTGCAAATATATCAAGAATATACTGTAAATACGATGACTATTATAGTTATGAATTGGTGAGAATGAGTAACATGTGCTTTATTATTTACATTCATTAATTTAGCAGATTATTGTATCCAAAGAGAATTATGGATAAGGAATATAATATATAAAATGGTAGAAATATAGTTTCAAACATTGTCTTGAAAAGTACAAGTTAGAACAAGGAGGTAAATAAGAAATAGAGAGAAAAAGAAGTTGTTTTTAAGTCTCTTGCTTTAAATGAGAAACTCAGAGCTTTAACACAATCATCATTCACAAGCCGAAAAATTAGAAATAAATGACGATTTACATTTTTATTAAAATGATAAGATGTACATCAGCGTATGAAAACAAGTTAAAACATTAATACTGTGATCAGGCGTATATATTTATGATGATGATGATGATGATGATTAGGGCAGAGCTGAGAGTCTCAGTCAGACTCGGGATGAGGTTCTTGTGCTTCAAGCGGCCCAAAACAACATCTGTATCAAAGCCTCCTCACGACCCTCACTGATGCCGATTTCATTAAAGTCTCTTTCAGACTGTTAGCTGAACACACAGAGGACTCCTTCAGACTTTTACACACTTTTACAGTAAAACTTTCCATCAAATTTACACGCGGCTTTCCCCCGCGGCTGATGCTCGCCTTGGATTTGATCTGATAGAATCGAAAGAAACGTTTCATCCTCGCGTATTTCAGTCTCTAATGAAAGTCCGGACTCTCTGCTTGTTGTTCACTTTATTTTGACATCAAAAAACTATTTAATCGCTCCAGTTTTCCCCCAAATGTAAGAGAAGAAAACACAAGAGTCTGCGGCTCGTGGACGCGCACCGACACAAAGCGGGCGGGTTGAGTCTACGAGGTTCTCATGTGTTGTTTAAAGAAGCAGCGCCGCGCGAGCGTTGATCATTCATTGCTGAGAGCAGACTGTGTGAAACCCTGCAGATCATCCGATCAGAGAGAGAGATATGGCAGAAACCGCCCCCGCCCCGGCTGCTGCCGCCCCGGCTAAAGCGCCCAAGAAGAAGTCCGCCGCGAAAGCCAAGAAAGCAGGTCCCGGCGTCGGCGAGCTGATCGTCAAAGCGGTGTCCGCGTCCAAGGAGAGGAGCGGCGTGTCCCTCGCCGCGCTGAAGAAATCGCTCTCTGCCAGCGGCTACGACGTGGAGAAGAACAACTCCCGCGTCAAGCTCGCCATTAAGAGCCTGGTGACGAAAGGCACACTGGTTCAGGTCAAGGGAACCGGCGCATCGGGCTCCTTCAAGCTCAACAAGCAGAAAGCCGAGAGCAAGAAGAAGCCCGCGGCCAAGAAAGCGGCTCCTAAAGCGAAGAAGCCCGCGGCTAAGAAACCCGCCGCCGCCAAGAAGCCCAAGAGCGCCGCGGCAAAGAAGCCTGCAGCCGCTAAGAAGTCGCCCAAGAAGGCCAAGAAACCCGCCGCCAAGCCCGCTAAGAAGGCGACGAAGAGCCCCAAGAAGGCGAAGAAGCCCGCAGCCGCTAAGAAAGCAGCCAAGAGCCCGAAAAAGGCCAAGGCGGCGAAACCGAAGGCGGCAAAGCCCCAAGCCGCCAAGCCTAAAAGGGGACCTCCCAAGAAGAGATAAACATCTACTCTCTCCCACAACGGCTCTTTTAAGAGCCACCCACCTACTCTGAGTAAAGAGCATACTCCGAATATCGTGTATTTTAACAATTTGTTAGTTTAGAAAACAAATAATCAAGATTTGGCTTTCAGCTTCTTGAACTTAAATCTGAAAGAACAATAGAACATGATTTTTGTATCTAAAATAAGTTATGAAAAACTTTTAAACTGTTCTGTATGCATAAAAATGGCCAAAAGCTTATTGAGGGGTTGTTAGTGATCATAGTTCAAATAAGAAATTGTATAACTACAGAATATATACCCATAAATCTATATTGGAGAATTATGACAAGACAAACACCAATAAGCAGTGGTAAAACTCCAGTATTACAATAGGAACATAATTCTACAGTATCGGGTCAATGTGCTCTGAATATCAGAATCAAATCAAATCCCTTTATTGTCACACAACCATTAACACAAAGGTGAAATCCTTGGGTGCAGTTCTGAGCAACATAGAAGTCATGACACATTACATCAAACATCAGATTTACACAATTTACATAACTTACCAAAACAACATACAAGAATAGATACACATACGATACAAATATATGTAATATATTGTAGGTTTTGTTGTGCTGTTGGCAATAGGATTGTTTAAGGTTATTAACATAAACAATATGTAACTATATGTAATATACAGTGTTTGAAAGGTGTAACAGTTTTATAAAATCCATTTTTGTAACCATTTGAATAGTCTCCCACAATTTAAATAGTTTAATTTCTTCTGTCAAATACTTGTGCATAATTATTGAGAACTTGGGTCTGACCGAGACAGATATTATTGGAATTATTCCCGCCAGAAAGGGGGTTGGGCTTTGGAGGGAAGTTCAGTGATTGGTTAAAATGTTAACAGACTCTAAGCCAATGAGCGACTGGTGCTCTCCCATAAATACAGGATGTGGGACGCCAGAAATCATTCTGTTTTCTTCCACGGATAAGTTTTAGAAAATAATTGACAATATGAGCGGCAGAGGCAAAACCGGCGGCAAAGCCCGAGCAAAGGCCAAGACTCGCTCTTCCAGGGCAGGACTGCAGTTCCCCGTCGGCCGTGTCCATAGGCTCCTCCGTAAAGGCAACTACGCCGAGCGCGTCGGTGCCGGAGCTCCTGTGTATCTGGCGGCTGTGCTCGAGTATCTGACCGCTGAGATTCTGGAGCTGGCTGGAAACGCCGCTCGGGACAACAAGAAGACCCGCATCATCCCCCGGCACCTGCAGCTGGCGGTGCGCAATGACGAGGAGCTGAACAAGCTTCTGGGCGGAGTGACCATCGCTCAGGGCGGCGTGTTGCCCAACATCCAGGCCGTGCTGCTGCCCAAGAAGACCGAGAAGCCCGCCAAGGCCAAATAATGCTCCGGTCCCTCACTGACAACCAACGGCTCTTTTCAGAGCCACTCATTCCGTCTGATAAAGAGCGCTTTTTCCTGCTAAATAATCATAAGCCTCATATGCTCTTTGGTTGTGGATAATGTTGTTAAATGTATCCCAGGAAATCATATCTTCTTGTTTTAATCTAATATGCGATGTACAATGATCCATAAGAAACTTTTTTTCCTGCGTGCAAATGGACCCTAATATGCTATTAATCTAAACGTTTTAATCTACTTAGTTTTTTCGTTTGTTGCAACATTGTACTACAATTGATAAATTATAACATTTGACTTTTTCACTAAAAATATATATTTCTTGAAAATATCGATTTTTATTTTACTAAAAAACTAACCGGATGCTTAAACATATTTATTCAGTTTCTAATGTAAAAAATAATAAAAAGTAACTTTTCTTATCCAGATGTTACTCAGGCAACAACCATAGAGGAGCACAATTATTTCCAAACAGTCATTGTTATAATCTTCATCATCTTCACTGTCACCATATCCTCTTCCTCATCAGTGTGACTCCTCATCCTCACCCTCATCATCTGCAGTTTATACCTTTTTTAGTTGCTATAGAAAATGTGCAACCATTATTTAGAAAAATAAAACTTATTTTTTATTTTAAATTTTACTCATTAATTCCTAAACATCATTGCTGCCATGTGGCAATTGACATGCTAAGTATAAGGTAGATAATTTTAGTTAACTAAGAGAACAGTTTAACTAAACATAACGTCATATTATGTGACACTGTATGATGTATTTGTCACAATATTACATCTTTTTAAATGATAAATAAATAAATGTTCAAAACATATTTAATGAATTTCATATTGACCATTAAATTAGCCATGCAATTAATGTATTCCGTTTTGGTTTCATAATTCATTTTACCATGTTTCAACATGATTGCCATGCTTTTCATATTAACAGATGATTTTTTTTGTCTGTTTGAGGCAGAAATGTCAAGTAAAGAGAGAAATACGGGGAAAGACTCGTGCAGGAGAGAGGAGATCCCGAGGGAAAGAGGGAAACTGTACAGAGATCTTCACACTGAAACCTTCTATTGGAATCTGATCTAAATTATTAACTGTCCATATGAGTATCACAATATCCAGATTTGATATCCGACTGGAGCAAAGAGCTTTACAGTCGGCTGTTGTTCTCCAGCACCAGTGGGGTCCACGGGGTCCCTTGGCCTGGTCTTGTTTCATGCTTCCCTTGGGAATTATTTTCATCATTTTAAATATGGTATTTCCTACCATATATTTGCCTTTAAGACCTAACTGTAATGTTTCTTGTGCAACACCCCATAGGTTCCTGTTTGATATTGATTGTTTGTTTTTTTTATGATTCCTGTATTGGGATGTACAGCACTTTGGAGTTAATGTAGCCAAGACAAACAACAATAAGCAGTGGTATAACTCCAGTATTACAATAGTAACATAAATCTGTAGAGTATCGGGTCAATGTGCTCAATATAGCAGAATCAAATCAAATCCTTTTATTGTCACACAACCATTAACACAAGTGCAACAGTGGGTGAAATCCTTGGGTGCGGTTCTGAGCAACAGCAGTCATGACACAATGGGACGTGTAACAATTTACAGCAAACATCAGATTCACACAATTTACATAATTTACAGGTCTAATGTGAACACAATTACTCACAGACACAGAACCATCTAACAAAATAATAAATAATACACAATATAGGTATTTATACATACAATAGATACACATACGATACAAATATATGTATGTAATATACATATTTTGTGCTGTTGACAATTAGATCAGTTTGTTTATGATTATTAACCTAAACAATATTTAACTATATGTAATATATAGTGTTTGAAAGGAGTAACAGTTTTATAAATTCCATTTTTGTAACTATTTTAACTCTCTCCCACAAATATTTAAATAGTTTCATTTCTTCTGTCAAATACTTGTGCATAATAATTCCCGCCAGAAAGGGGGTTGGGCTTTGGAGGGAAGTTCAGTGATTGGTTAAAATGTTAACAGACTCTAAGCCAATGAGCGACTCGTGCTCTCTATAAAGCCAGGATGTGGGAAAGCTGTTCTCCATTCTAGTTTTTTCCACTGTGTGACTTTAGAAACGAATCCATAAAATGAGCGGCAGAGGCAAAACCGGCGGCAAGGCCCGAGCAAAGGCCAAGACTCGCTCTTCCAGGGCAGGACTGCAGTTCCCCGTCGGCCGTGTCCACAGGCTCCTCCGTAAAGGCAACTACGCCGAGCGCGTCGGTGCCGGAGCTCCTGTGTATCTGGCGGCTGTGCTCGAGTATCTGACCGCTGAGATCCTGGAGCTGGCTGGAAACGCCGCTCGGGACAACAAGAAGACCCGCATCATCCCCCGGCATCTGCAGCTGGCGGTGCGCAATGATGAGGAGCTGAACAAGCTTCTGGGCGGAGTGACCATCGCTCAGGGCGGCGTGTTGCCCAACATCCAGGCCGTGCTGCTGCCCAAGAAGACCGAGAAGCCCGCCAAGGCCAAATAATGCTCCGGTCCCTCACTGACAACCAACGGCTCTTTTCAGAGCCACTCATTCCATCTGATAGAGAGCGTTTTTCTTAATATTTTCTAACACAATGCTTATTTTAAGTAGAAGTAAAAATCATATCATAATTTAGTAATATAATCATACTAGACACAAGTTATTCATGCTTGTGTTGTAAACAAGATGATCTTCCAATGTTTGCAGAGGTTGAAATGTTACTGCCCCAAATCCATCTTCCCTAATAAAAATATTTGTCTACCAGTCTCTGATAATGTGGTGAGTATTATAACTGACTACCCAAAATAAAAAGCAAAATACACATTGGCTTCAGAGGTTTTCAAATAATGAAAACAGAAAATAACAGAACAGAAATTTTTTGTAACAGAAAATAATTCATGTCTCTGTGGGTCTTTTGCCCATTGGGAATAAAGGTGAGTATTTCAGAACAAATAAATACAGAAATTTGAGAATAAAGTCTTTATAGCTTAGGGTAAAGTAGTAAACAGAACAAAGCTTCTTGAGCGGGAAACCCTCCGCTTGTTTGAAAAGAGGGAACGTGCAGTCATTGGCTAGCAGTCATTAACACACGTGACACACTTAGCCAATCAAGCCTTCATTCGTGACGCTTGAGCTCGTGGCGGTCCAATGCTATAAAAGCAGGAGGTGTGTAACAGAAACAGCATTTCTAGCACAAGCAGAAGACATACAGCAGAAACTGCAGCGATGGCAAGAACCAAGCAGACCGCTCGTAAATCCACCGGTGGCAAAGCCCCGAGGAAGCAGCTCGCGACTAAAGCAGCGCGGAAGAGCGCGCCCGCCACCGGCGGCGTCAAGAAGCCCCATCGGTACCGGCCCGGGACCGTGGCTCTGCGGGAGATCCGCCGTTATCAGAAGTCCACCGAGCTGCTGATCCGCAAACTGCCTTTCCAGCGGCTGGTGAGAGAAATCGCCCAGGACTTTAAGACGGACCTGCGCTTCCAGAGCTCCGCTGTCATGGCCCTGCAGGAGGCCAGCGAGGCTTATCTGGTGGGTCTGTTTGAGGACACCAACCTGTGCGCCATCCACGCCAAGAGAGTCACCATCATGCCCAAGGACATCCAGCTGGCGCGCCGCATCCGTGGAGAGCGCGCTTAAATTCGTCCCCGCTGCTGTGCACGCGCATCAAACCCCAACGGCTCTTTTAAGAGCCACCACTTACTTTAAACGAGATGATTTCCACTGACGTTGTTTATTTATTTGTCTGTGTATATATATTATAAAACAAGGTCCCGTGCAGTGTGTGATCTAACATCAGTAAAAGCTTGGTCTAGGCAATTATTAGGGGAAAGGAGCATATGCTATTGTTTCCTAAAACATACAATTGGCCGCTTCGTCTCATTTGGGAGTTTGTGGCATTTGGATCAGACAGCCAGTGATTACAGTTTTATTTTTTTTCGATTGCCATTTGCCAAACGGCAGTGAGCACAACGACGAGCTAAATGTGCAAAACTCTATCTACAGCAGCCTTTCTCAAAGTGGGTGCCGCGGCACACTGGGGTGCCCCCTGACTGTGTCTGGGGTGCCGCCAAAAAATTACGTAGGCTAAAAATAAATAAATAAATAAATAAACAACTGACATTTCATATATAAATATATTTAAATTTACATATTTACATTCTTCTTTTTAAACATATGAACGTATTAATAAAATTGTAAATTCATTTTAGATAAATATATAAAATTAAGCATAAAAATCCATCTCGCAAGACACGAAACTTGACGGAAGTGACGCAATCCATAGCAACGCGTTATAGCAACAACACCTCAGACTGACAGAAACGTAAAAATAAACGTAAATTTAGGTCACTTTAGTTACAGCATCATGGATCTTTTTTTTTTTTTGAAAAGAAAATCCCCCCAAGAACCGGACAGTTTTTCTGTGAAATGGAGCCTCAGCCTACTTCCTCGGTACTGGGGATGCAACATGCCCTCTCCCGTTGTGTCTAATATATGGGATGAAACTATCAAACCAAGGGATGATTCCGCAAACTTAAAAGACACCTGACCACCTCTCATCCAACCCTGCCAGGATAGGGCGGCTGTGTGCGTCGCACCAGGCTCACGTCTCGATTGTGGTCACCCCCACCCCCGGCTTGTGTAAGCGCGTATACGCGCTGCATGCACGCATGTAGATCGTTCTCCCTCTCTCGTTGTGGATTATTGTTTGTGTGTGTGGCTGTATGTGTATGTGGGTGTGTGTGTGTGTGTGTGTGTCTGTGTGTCTGTGTGTGCATGTGCGTGCATGTGCATGGCACGGATAAAAAAAAAAACAAGCACTATATGGAAAAACATTCCTGCTTATCTCTGGTGCATTTTTTAGCATGCATCTTTTTCTTATTGCATTGTATATATATATATATATATATATATATATATATATATATATGTATGTATGTATGTATATTAATGTCTTTCCCTTTATATTTTATTTTAACTGCATCCTGCACTTCATTTGAGTTCTCCTGGTCTGGATTTGTTATTGGGTTTTTGTATTGGGCGGTCCACCTCTTACGGTTTTATGGCATTTGTGTCTCTGATTAATTATTTTGTGAATTACCTTGATAACCTTTGTTTTTAAAGGTACTATACAGTTTTTATTATTATTACAGTTCATATTATGCTATGTTCATTACTGTTCTGTCTAACTAAACAAGACATTTGCATTTACATTTGGGTTATGCAGTGTTTTTAAATTATATTTTACACTGGGGTGCCTTGAGATTTTATGCACTTTTGAAAGGTGCCCTGACTGAAAAAAGTTTGAGAAAGGCTGATCTACAGTCTGCACTACCAACAGTCACCTGCGCTTATACAGTTCGCATCACCTGCAAAGCTCCAAGCAACACAACTCTAAACACACGGCTCAAAAGGCTCAGTGTGCACAACACTATGCACAACCCTCACTGAGATAACACACACTGTCACTCAGAACACACACAGAGTAAAAACACTTGCATCAAACACCAATACAGAAAACACACTTTTCATCTTTACAGTTTGAACAATTTCAGTGACTTCAAACAAAGTAATATTTTCTTCAAAGAAAATAGTGACATTCTTTAATATGATTTATTTACATTTTTAGAACAGAATTTGAACACATAATTGAGGGGCTAATCCTGCCTCCAGCATCAGGACAGGTTTCCAGCCTTTCAGCTGAAATTGTTTGAAAATCAACAGTGTGTGAAAGGAACAAGACTGAAATTTATTCTGTTTTGAATGTGTGGTTCTCAGTTTTGACAGCAGTGTGTAAGCGTTTGTACAAAGTACTGTAAATCCACAGTGTTGTGCAGGTTGTGGTTAAAGTCATGGGATAAGTGTGCAGTTTTGAAGACTGTTCAAGAAATGAAAAACAAACTATACAGGGGGCATAAAAAGAATATCACAGATGTCATTATTCACTATTTTACTGTAATCAATGCTGTGATTTGATGACTTGTGTCCCTCTTTGTTTACTTTGTTGAGCTTGTAGAACAGCACTATTCATTATTAACCAGTACTACTGTAAATAACCTAATACAATAAATATATATTAATATTTTATTTAAAATAAGGGAATGGCTCCTCCAGGAGTGGCGGTTAAATGTTTCGCGCTCTATATTTTGGGGGAGGGGCGCGTGCATGTGACGCCTCGCTGGTTTCTGTCAGGTCCTGTAAGCAGAACTAAATCGTCTGCCTTCAGCCCTCGGGCTTCATTCTTCGTCGTAATCTAACTAACATAACTATCTTGTGAACATGTCTGGAAGAGGCAAAGGCGGGAAAGGGCTTGGAAAAGGAGGCGCGAAGCGTCATCGTAAAGTTCTGCGCGATAACATCCAGGGAATCACCAAACCCGCCATTCGGCGTCTGGCTCGTCGCGGCGGCGTCAAGCGCATCTCCGGGCTGATCTACGAGGAGACCCGTGGTGTGCTGAAGGTGTTTCTGGAGAACGTGATTCGCGATGCCGTCACCTACACCGAGCACGCCAAGAGAAAGACCGTCACCGCCATGGATGTTGTGTACGCGCTGAAGCGGCAGGGACGCACCTTGTACGGCTTCGGGGGATAAACGCCTGAAACCCGGAGAATCTGACGGACCCAACGGCTCTTTTAAGAGCCACACACTCCCGCACTTAAAGAGTTGATGTCAATCATTCAGTGAAAAAAATAACACTGATTTCTAGATCGAGAGCGTTCTTAATGAGCTCTTAAATTAAGATTAACATATCAAAATAGTAAGAATATTTTCACTTTCACAGAGGAGCCCGAAAAATACAATATTTTAACAAGTTATTCCATTTACAGATGCTGAAATGTGGTAAACGAAATTAATAAATGACAATTAGATCAGAAATCGTACAAAAATGTTTGTTGCTTTCCACCACTAAAACAGGCTTTATTTGCTGCTCCTGTAGTTTAAACTGTTCTGAGGAAAAGCTGTTTTTAAATCAAATCTGATTTCTGCAAAACACCTTCAAATGTGTTTTAATTAAATTATGGTACAGAATGTCTTGAACAGCGTAATTTATCAAAATATCAGTATATGAATTAACTTGAGCAATCTAGTGACATAACAAAGGAAATGTACTGGAAATTGCTCCCAGTCTAAAAAAGTACAAAAACATTTTGTGAACAGGTTCATGCAGGGTTTCTGTCGTCGTCGTCGTCGTAGCCCTGGCCTGCGTGGGGTTTCTGTCGTCGTCGTCGTCGTAGCCCTGGCCTGCGTGGGGTTTCTGTCCTCGTCGTAGCCCTGGCCTGCGTGGGGTTTCTGTTCTCGTCGTAGCCCTGGCCTGCGCAGGCTTTCTGTCCTCGTCGTCGTAGCCCTGGCCTGCGTGGGGTTTCTGTCCTCGTCGTAGCCCTGGCCTGCGCAGGCTTTCTGTCCTCGTCGTCGTAGCCCTGGCCTGCGCAGGGTTTCTGTTCTCGTCGTAGCCCTGGCCTGCGCAGGCTTTCTGTCCTCGTCGTCGTAGCCCTGGCCTGCGTGGGGTTTCTGTCCTCGTCGTAGCCCTGGCCTGCGCGGGGTTTCTGTTCTCGTCGTAGCCCTGGCCTGCGCAGGCTTTCTGTCCTCGTCGTCGTAGCCCTGGCCTGCGTGGGGTTTCTGTCGTCGTCGTCGTAGCCCTGGCCTGCGCAGGCTTTCTGTCCTCGTCGTCGTAGCCCTGGCCTGCGTGGGGTTTCTGTTCTCGTCGTAGCCCTGGCCTGCGCGGGGTTTCTGTTCTCGTCGTAGCCCTGGCCTGCGCAGGCTTTCTGTCCTCGTCGTCGTAGCCCTGGCCTGCGCAGGCTTTCTGTCCTCGTCGTCGTAGCCCTGGCCTGCGCGGGGTTTCTGTTCTCGTCGTAGCCCTGGCCTGCGCAGGCTTTCTGTCGTCGTCGTCGTAGCCCTGGCCTGCGTGGGGTTTCTGTCGTCGTCGTCGTAGCCCTGGCTGGCCTGCGTGGGGTTTCTGTCCGTCGTCGTAGCCCTGGCCTGCGTGGGGTTTCTGTCGTCGTCGTCGTAGCCCTGGCCTGCGTGGGGTTTCTGTCGTCGTCGTCGTAGCCCTGGCCTGCGTGGGGTTTCTGTCGTCTGGCCCTGCGTGGGGTTTCTGTCGTCGTCGTCGTAGCCCTGGCCTGCGTGGGGTTTCTGTCGTCGTCGTCGTAGCCCTGGCCTGCGTGGGGTTTCTGTCGTCGTCGTCGTAGCCCTGGCCTGCGTGGGGTTTCTGTCCTCGTCGTAGCCCTGGCCTGCACGGGGTTTCTGTCGTCGTCGTCGTAGCCCTGGCCTGCGTGGGGTTTCTGTCGTCGTCGTCGTAGCCCTGGCCTGCGCGGGGTTTCTGTCGTCGTCGTAGCCTTGGCCTGCGTGGGGTTTCTGTCCTCGTCGTAGCCCTGGCCTGTGTGGGGTTTCTGTCCTCGTCGTAGCCCTGGCCTGCGCGGGGTTTCTGTCCTCGTCGTAGCCCTGGCCTGCACGGGGTTTCTGTCGTCGTCGTCGTAGCCCTGGCCTGCGTGGGGTTTCTGTTCTCGTCGTAGCCCTGGCCTGCGCAGGCTTTCTGTCCTCGTCGTCGTAGCCCTGGCCTGCGTGGGGTTTCTGTCCTCGTCGTAGCCCTGGCCTGCGTGGGGTTTCTGTTCTCGTCGTAGCCCTGGCCTGCGCAGGCTTTCTGTCCTCGTCGTAGCCCTGGCCTGCGCGGGGTTTCTGTCCTCGTCGTCGTAGCCCTGGCCTGCGTGGGGTTTCTGTCGTCGTCGTCGTAGCCCTGGCCTGCGCGGGGTTTCTGTCGTCGTCGTCGTAGCCCTGGCCTGCGCGGGGTTTCTGTCGTCGTCGTCGTAGCCCTGGCCTGCGCGGGTTTCTTGTCTTCATTTTTCTCAAGGAAGAATATCGTGTCAAAGGCGCAGCTTCCAGGGGTTCTGCCCCTTCAAGCTCCAGAAAGCTTTCATGAATCACACCATTGTAAAATTATCTCAGGCCAAATGACATTGGCTCCTTTTTCTGAACATCTTTAGTTTCTTCAAAAAAACAACAACAAAAAAAACATGAAAACTGCTTGCTCGTTTTAACTTCGTGGATGATTTATTCTTTGACCTTTGCAGCCGAGCACTCAAGTATTTGACTCTGTATTGTTCTACTCGTGTATTTAGCATTTTTAGCTTGTTGTTCAAGTCTTTTGTAATGATGGGGTTCTGGTTAGACAGCAAGTCTAACATATACAGAACAACACCTTCGAGAGACTCCCTGTGGCTGTTAGAACAAACATTTTAGCTAGTGTTTTAATGAAGTATTGATTTTCCACCACTTGCTTCTTTTTTTGCTCATCTTTTGGTCCCAACATTGAGGTATTTTTATCCATAATTTCCTTTTCTCTGTCAATACAAACATTGCATTTACATGGCCTTCAGATCTGGCATGAGAACAGAAACCAGAGTCCTTCATTGTAGCCTTTTTCCAGATAACCCTCGAATGAGGTTAAAACGGTCCAGAGGCGAAAATGCCTACAGCAAAACAGAAAGCTGCATCTTTCGATTGAGAGCATTCTAACCAGGGATGAGATAAATCCCGTAAGTTGTAAATTGTGTACATTTAGTCAATTTTGGAGAGTTCGTCTGATTGTTTCACCTGTATATTTTATTATAGATGCATTAAGTTCAGATCGGGTGCGTCTGACCGTCTGGAGACCTGTTGCTTTGTTTGTGTGTGTGTGTGTGTGTATGAATGTTTACTGAGCCTTACCCTTGTTCCCTGCTGTCATGCTATTGAAATGTTCATGACAATCAAATGGAAACCTATGCAAAAATGGAAAGCAACTGAAGTTCCAAGAATGCGAATCTGAAACTGAACGAGTGTGCATCCAACGCCTTATTCGGAACAAATGCCTTCGCACGTTTGCTGAGAGAAACCTTTAATTTCCAGAAAAATGAAAGTAACAATCTGCCTTTGACTGACTGGTTTAATTTAATCTAAACCGAGAACACTTCAGATTCCTGACATTCTCTGAGAGTTTGATGGTTTAACTTCTCATAATCAGGTTAACTTTAGTTTTAATGGAAAAATCTGGTTAATAACATATAAATAATCTTACTTTAAAAATGCATAAATATAAACATAGATTAATGCAGATCGCCAACCTGCTTCTGTCCTGTTTAATATAGTTTTAATTAAAATAGAATTTCAACCTCAACATTGTTGAACTGAAAACTGATGGAATGAAATTATTTTAATGAATATTGTTTTAGGTAAAAAACACCCTGACCTTTTCCCAATAAATACATATGCTTTTCATCATGTTTCATTTAAATAGACACTTTCTGGAGTGAGTAAATGCATGCGGGTCATTCCTTCAGTCTGAGGTATTTATACAATACTGCATATTTTACATGTAAAAAAAATGTTGATCAACTTTCGTATACATGATTTTCTATAGACCCTATTAACAAACAAAGAAAGAAAGAAAGAAAGAAAGAAAGAAAGAAAGAAAGAAAGAAATCATAATATTAGTCATAAATAATAACAATAATAATGTGCTGCATGTATAGAGTATAGCTTTTCTCTCAAAGCGCTTCATATGAGGGTGAATCTCCTCGATGATGAGCAGCACGAACCAATGAGGCCAAAATTTAGTTGGATTGTTTTGTTATCACTGTAAAGCTGCTTTGAAACAATATTTACTGTAAAAGCGCTGTATAAATAAAGGTTGCTTGACTATCAAATACAAGAAAACGGAAAGTAAATATATGCATAAATGTACTGTACACATATTTATGTGTATAGACTTACTATTAATGGCTTGATAAATATATTAACTGGTCATGTATCTATAATGCATCCATATTTTTCTAAGTGGTGTAAAGATTAAACAAACATAACATATTTTTTCTTACAATTGAGTTATTAATTTCTCACTAGACAGAAAACACTTCAGGTGTAACAGGTTTATGACACACAAGGCGTGTGATACTTCACTCACTATAAAAGCCTGTGTTTCCTCGCCTGTTAATGAACACTGAACAACAGCTGACTATTGCAGATCGGTGAGACACACATTTCACACACAGAGAGAGAGAGAGAGAGAGAGAGAGAGAGACTCTCTCTTCTGACCAACACTAAAAAAAAAACACTAAGTAATAGTTTCTTATGTGAAGTTTCCTTTACAATGCTCTGTTTTACATTGAACTCAAGATCTACTGCTGGTTATTGTAATTTACTGCTTAATTGTTTGTGTTACACTTTGTAAGACAACATATATACACAATATAGGTAATAATGAAGTACCAACCAATGACAGAGACTTCAATATTTGGTGCACAATAACGGTAATAATCAGTGGACATTTTTTTTGAGAATGGGTTGTAACGACACAATCAGATTTAACAAATAATCTTTAAAACTCACTCTGGGATCTCTGGTCCCATTCCCCCAACAAGGGCAAGAAGGGTATTGGTTACCATGACTACTGTGTTTTGGTTCTGTTTTGTCCCGATCTTGTTTCCCCCTGTCATTGTGACTTTTGGTTTAGTCCTGTTAGTGTTTCCCGCTCTATTTAATTAGTAAATCCCTTCACCTGTGTTCAGTTAATTAATTATCCCATCAGTCCCTGTGTAAATCCATTTAAACCCTGTGTTTTCCTTCAGCATCGGTTGATCGTCGCCAATGCATGGTTGATTTTTGAAGTCCTGGAAATTTTGTTTCTGTATGTTGCAGAAAGTTAAGTTTGTACGTAGATCAACTATACTGCTATTCCTGTATTCTTGTCTTCTGCCTGACAACTACGATGAGATGAGTTGGTTTTATTGCTGTCAAAAATGTGGTCAAGTGGAAAAAGCAAAGGCCATAGAAAAGACCCACAGCCCTTAAAAAAGACTTTGCATCAATTTATGGACGAACTGATCTATAAATGATCATGCACCCTAGGAGACTGTGTGAATGATTTACTGTCTTATGTACCATTATGTCTTTGATACTACAGTATGTATTTTATTATACAACTAACGGTCAACTCAAAGGGACCGGTCTCTCAACTGAGGTTGTGGAGACCATTCTCCAGCGCTCCACAAGGAAACTTCATGCTCTGAAGTGGAGAGTCTTCACTTCATGGTGTAGTGACCATCAGTTAGACACGGTTAACTTCCCGGTTGTTACAGTGCAGAGCAGGTTCACTGCAGGTTTATCCCCGTCCACTAAAGGTTTATGTGGTGTCGTAGGTGCGTAACACTTTCCTCTGGGTGGAATGTCTTTGGGTAAAGACCCCATCCCCATCTCTATTAATTCCTTTATTTATTGACCATCCACTCAAAACAAAACGACACATTTTAATGTATGCCTTATCCTTTTCATACATATAATTTTAAAAATATTCTGTCTGACCCGTTAGCGAGAGTTTTTCAAGGCGACCGTTACTTAGATCTAGATCTAAACTCTAAATGTGTTGTTTTTAGTACTTATGTGAACTTAAATGTTTGAAACATAAAATAAAGATTATGTGGTTGAAAACACTGAATAGTTGTGATATAATGCTGCGTTCCAGGCATGTTTTTGAGCACGTAAATCACGACTTCAAACCACGACTTTGTAGCATTCCAGGTCATTCACGCCAAACTACCTAGATGTAAAAAAACCAGCATGGCGGACCTTACGGGGCTCACGCGCATTTGTAATAATTGCTACCGCCAAAGCTGCTTAGTCCTTGTTTATTTGTGGGAAAACTGAGGAGGAAAAATAGCGCATGAGGCAAGATAAGCTGTTATACCTTTTATTTTACTTTATAATATTTGTATATTTGGAAATGTATTTGGTATTAATTTATCCTTGCACTCAATGGACTGAAAACTAGTTAACGTTATGTTGTCCTAAAGTGTCCTCACCGTGTACCGCCTGCAGAAACACTGCTCCGTAGGGGCTGTCATTGTAGTTTTGTATATGTTCGCGGGCTATGTGACGTCAGAACTCGTAACTGGGAGTACGTCGGTCTAGTTCGAGTTCACGGGTGGGAAGTCACGGGTTTGACTGCCGTTCCAGTGCACTTTCACGGGTATAAGGTTGGAAAAACACGAGTTACAGGTTGCCTGAAGAGGAAACGAGACACTGCGTCACCTTGCATCTCCTACGTGCTGAGGCGATTTATAAACGTAAACAGGGTCCACAGTGATTCCAATAGTACATGGAATCATGATTTAATTTAATCGTGTTTAATCATGTAATTTCAAGTAAGATATTTTTCAATGAAGCTACAAATGATAGTGTGGTGTGTACTAACTAACAAATCCTAGCATGTCTTGTTAGGTGTGGAATCATGCTGATGTGATTTTTGTCTAATGTCTATGCCATGGATGTTTCTTTTGTTCCCACTCGGCACATCTTCCACTAATCTTTTATTTTGTGTTTATTTAGCCATTGCTAAGAACTCATCCCGTTCTTCTTGGTTCCCATCTCGGCACAGGAATAAGGACACGCAGGAACTCATCAACAATTTTGAGACAACTGTGAAAATGATGTACCAATTACCTTCATGCAATCCGGGTGAAACAATCTCAATTCCTCCTGCAGTTAGAGATTCGCTATCATGCCTCGACATTGTATGGTCCGACATGTTTGAGGCTGTAGAGATAAACCCGGACACGGCCAGACAGCAAGAGATCGACTTTCTCCAAGGAGCGCCACCAACTTGGCTGAACTTCTACACATCGGCAAACTTACCATTGGTCGAAAGGGACGGCTTTAATGATTTAATAGAGTTAATCGAGAGGAAAAAAGAAAAACTCTGTCTCATCACTGATGTTTCTTTACGATACCAGCGTGGCAGTGGCGGATCAACCCTCGGCATGCAGGTGCTTTGGCACTTCCGGAGAGATCTCAGATGTGCCAGAGCCATCGATTCTGACATAGACACCAAAGAGCTGTCGAAACAAGTGCTGGACCTTTTTCTGCGGTCTAATGAAGAACGTGCAGAACAAGACCAGAAAACGGTGCTGCTGCTACTAGACACCAAGGAAAAGCGGGACAATAAACTGCCTATCAAGAATGAGCTCTGGACAAACCTGATTAAAGAAATCCATGATAGGGGCATTAACACTCAAACTCCAGTCGTGATCCTCTTGGACTGGAAAACCGAAGACTTCAGTCTAAACGACACACTGATTCTTCCTTCCAAACCCTCTGAAGAGAAAATCAAACAATTGAAGGAAAAACTTCTGCAACAGATCCGACTCCAGAGAAAAAGCCAGTGGAAAGTTACAACCATAAATCTGTTGTGCGATGAAGACAGCGGCGGATCAGCACTAGCCGGAGCGATCCTGCAGGAGTTAGAGCACGAGTTCACATGTGGAACCTGGAAAGACCCGTTCAGAACAGAGATTTCAGAAAATAAAGAGTGTACAAGAGAGATTGAAAATATGGCAAGTGAACTGTTCAAAAAATATAAAACACATAAAAAACCTGTGCTTCTCCTTTTGGATAACAAAGATGACAAGACAACCTCTGACTTATTAAAGAATCTGCAGTCAAAGCTTCAGCCGGATCGGACTGACGGTCCTGCAGTCGTCATTATTAATGCCGTGGGGAAGAGTGCTGTTCGAGGGAGAGGGTCCGTGACGCTGAAACTGGAGCTCTTACCAGAGGAGAAGGAGAGGTTTGCTCAGAAAAGCCTCAAAATTGAAGAAAAACACAAGGAAATGTCAAAATCGTTTCATGCCTTTAACATAATGCGGGGAGGTTTCCAGAGACAGTATGCAGAGAAAACGATCACAGAAGAAATGGTCAATCTCATCGAAAATGACAAAACGTCCAGCAGCACAAAACTTCTCAGTTTTTTGGCTTTGATAAATTCATATGTCCCGGGTTCACACTTGTCGAAGTCTTCGTGCGAGAAATTCATTGACGGACCGTCGGTGGAAGATATAATGGAGCCTTTCATGGATCTCATAGTCATTTTCTCTGATGGAAAAGCCAACTGCATACGCCTGAAACATCCGATGATTGCTGATGCTTGTCTGAAAATGGTCACTGAGAATAAACTGACAAGATTTGACATTACTCTTGACTTTTTGAACAAGATGGTGGAAGGAAATGAGAGTGATTATGAGCAAATCTGCAAGAGATTGTTATTCACAAGACATCACGGTCTGACAGGAAAGGAGATGTTTTCCAGACTGATTCTTGACATCATGAGGGAAAGTACAACTAACAAATGCATTAAGTTGTTGAAGAGGGCTTCACATTTGTTCTCCACAGACCCTTTTTATCCTCAAGCACTTTCACGTTTGTATTACAACGAGGTCACTGAGGAAAGCAAATACCGTGAGGCAGAAAAATGGGCAAAAGAGGCAATTCAAAGAGACCCCAAATCTCATATTAGGGACACATTGGGGCAAGTTCACAAAAACCAACTGTCGAGGATCTGGACTGGAAGTATATGGGTTAACGTGAATAAACCACGTACAGACACGCGCTTGCGCATTGCAGAGTCTGCCATTAAAGCATTCGAAGATGAAGAGACAGCAGCTGAAGACGAGTTAGATGACAACACCAAATTCAATACCGGGGGCCACTTTGGTTTTCTAGAGGTTTGCAAGGAGATTTATGATCGAATCACTCCAAAGAATCCCCTTGAACAAAAATACCATGATTTCATCAATAGTCTCAGAGGAAAAGTTGAGTCCAAGTATAATTTCTTCGAACGGTACCTGACATTCTCAAGGCCAGGCAGCAAAACAGAGGAACCAGAATACATCCGTAGAGTTGTTGAGGATTGCTACAAGCTACACGTTACACAGGGAACGCAGACTGGAGAAGAGGCCCTGAATGAGAGAAAACAGAAGACTTTTGCAGGAATGCTTGATTTCCTAAGATCTGACATCAATGTCCTGAAACAGAATTTGAGTGCGATTGAAAAACCCCAGTCTGATGATGAACCCCAAACCGTCCTCTACATTCTGGCCAAGCTCATCTCCAGTCAGGCGGGCGAACCGGCGGGAGGAACGGAAGAGCTTCAGGACATGTTACAGAGCCTTTGGTTGACGAAAGCTGAAGGCAGAAGCCCAGAGTTTTACCTCTTGGTCCTTTTGCTCTTCTGGCCCGATGAAGTAAAGCCAGACCCTCCGAACCTTGGAGACTGTGTGCAATATATGAGTCAGTCTTACGAGAGCAAGTATCAGAAGCATTTGCGCCATCGCTTCCTGGTTCCTCTGTTCTTCTACGGGAAAGGAGAAGGCTTGCAGAGACTCGTTCATGCCTTGAAACCACACCAGGACGGCTTGGAGAGACCGGTTCACTCAAGACTACACCAAACGGATCTGGAGCTCCTCGCTGAAGGATATAAAGGAGTGTATGAAGTTGAATGTCTTCAGCGAATCGAAGGGAAGGTGGAGGATTATCGAGTGTTTGCTGATAGAAACGGGCACCAGATTGAAGTCAACGCCGACAAACCGGCCAACGTTTGCAAACAAGGACGTGTGTCTTTCTACCTCGGCTTCACAATCAGAGGACCTGTGGCCTACAACATCACATATCACGACTGTGAGTATATGTCAGACTCATAAATCACATATTTGCCAAATCAAAAATTATTCAGACATTTTTGATATTGTTTTACTAGTGTGTGCAGGACACTATTGTTCGAGAGCAGAATAAAGTAAACTGTGATATATATTATACCCAAAAATACAGCGACTACCAGTCACACTTACACACATTTGGGACCAACAATGATTCCTCCATTTTGAGCTGATGATGTTCTGCTGAAGTGTGTTTTCTCTTTTTACACACACACTGAACAACACGAAGCATTGCTTGGTCACTGGTTGAGCTAAACTGGTATTATCTAATTGTGTATTAAATTTATCAGCTGACAGATATTCAACATAATTCATGTGTGAGAGTCCAACAGAAGGACGGACAAAACCAGTCAAATATCCACTTTAATAACTCTGAGTTCTTGTCTTTTTATTAAATAAATATTTGATTACTATTTTCTATATCGAATAAACCATGATAGTCTGAGAAATTTTGAAGGTGTCTGAATACATTTTGTTTTGACTGTATGTAATGCATATTTTACTTTCAGAGAAAGATTGTATTCTTTGTTTCTCCGCAGAGTTTATGGATTATCGAAGGCTGTGATTCAGAGTAAAATAATCTAAATTCAGTTCTTCTTTGACTCTGAAATGCTGAACAGTGCAAGTAGACGATTAGATGAATATAATTCTGGTGATGGGTCTGTAAAATTGAAATTATTGTTAGTTTTGACCTCTTAATATTTTGGAAGTGAAAATAAATGCTGTTGGGAAACTTCCTTTGTGTAATTTACATTTGAGATTTATTATTTAAGATTGTCCGCACGTTTCTTCAGTTTTCCTGCGTCGTCTCGTAAACGTCTCCTGAGTTTGGGCTTTGGTTGGTGGATTAGCCTCATGTTATTAATTATATGATCCAAGAGTCTTTAAACATTTTGTTTTAAAGGTTAAGGAAAGTAGTAATGTTCATCTCTGTTAATGTTAATAAATTTAATGTAATCCAGCTGGATACTCGCTCTGCCTTCGTGACCGATCCCTGTAGCCTCATTATTGGTTGATCTCTTCCACCTGTGTGTTATTATCTCGATTAATGGACCTGTTTAAACTCTGTTTCAATCTCTTGAATATTGAAGAATATTGCCCAAATAAGAAGGAAGAAGTCTTGAATGTTGTTACACAGCATTTCTGAGTGTTTTCCTGGGTCTTGTTTTTTGATTCTCTGCCGGTTTTCTGTCCCGTTGTTTATTTAAATAGTTTGCCTGTGTATTGAGTCTTTGCTTGTGATATGGATTGCCATTATGGATTGTCCCAATAAAGCTGAATTTGAATCTTCAACCCAAGTGTCAAATCAGTCAACAATATTTGTTTTTCTTTGAGCAATGATGCCAGTATGTAATGCCAGTGACACATAAAATATTGTTTAATAAATTACATGCTAAATAATATAGAGTTCAGATGCAAAAGCCTCTAAGTGCCATTTGAAATTCTCTTAATAATCATTTTTATCAAGCTTGTATATTTAAATTCAGTAATTTCACTTAAATGGCAATAGGTAATATTCATTGCCATTTAAGTGAAATCCACAATACATCTGCAAAATAAAGAACAATTTAATTACAGGCCACATATTTACTGACTGTATTGTTTGTCATTTAAAGAAAATAAGTTTTTGACTAGTTTTAGTTTTTCATAAGTCTCAGTGGTTCATGCTAGCCTGGATGCCAGCCCGAACTCCGCCCACAACATTTTTTGGACGGGAAGTTCAGTCTGGACTCGATCCATTGAGGACTAATGGGCTCTATGCACGGCGGTATTTCCGGTGAAGCATTAGGGATGCTCGATAACTTCCGCCGATCGTAGAGTCCAATGCAATACTGAGAATTTATATTGAATTTTATACTCCATGGTTATACTAAAGAAACGTTAGTCACAAAAACAGATAAAACAGACACCCCTCGTTGTGTTTATGCTTCTTTTTAAAATTATATTAAATAAATATAACTATATATAAAATTACATCTAAACGTATGTACGTTTCATTTCAAAGACTGGAGGACAGTAAATTTTGAAGACTCTGCCATGATCCCGTTTTCTCCGGTTTTCCTCCGCTTTAATCTCCACAACCGGAAATGGACGAGCATCCTTACGTCAAATGCGGAACTTATGCGTGCATATAGACGAATCCGGCGAAACTACCGGAAGTAAGCGGGGCGCCATTACTGAGCTGTTGCTGGGTAGCGTTGCGCCATTGCCTCCTATTGTTTTAGTTGCAACTTGCGTCCAATGGAATAAACAGCTCGCGATTTACGACTGTCACTAACGTTACAACGTTATCCCTTGTATAATGTCGAGTGGGTAAACAGTTTCCGTTATAAATTGTTTCAATGGTGGCAGTAACATTTCAATTTTGAAGAGAAAACATTGTGAATACCCCGGGTCGACTGCCCCTGTCTGGTGCCGTACGGTTTACAGATTTCCTGGGCGAGTACAAGACGCGGACATTCGTGTATAATAACAATTATTTAATGACATAAGTAAAAAAAATATAATAAATATGTGATATAGTGATCAGCAAAATCTCCTCTCTTGCTATTTTTTCTATTCAATTAACATGCTATGGTTATTAAATGGCTTTCCTGAGCTAAATATAACGTTATGTGACATAATTGTTTTCCTGCTGTTATATTGACCTCTTTCCATGGTTTAAAAACACTAATTGGTCGATATTATGTATACTTTCTAGCTGTAACGTTACCTTACCCTTGCCTGTTGCAATGTGAAAATGAGATAAATAATGGACACAAATGAAAAACATGAATTTGTTTATTTGATTTCATTCATTTATTTATTTATTGTTGCCAAATGGACAGATCTTTTTATAGTTTCCTCGTTAGCAAACGTTAGCCTAGCTAGCTTGCCAAGCTATTTTCATAAATAATGTTAATCTGTAAGATCGTTTGTACCTTCATCTGTGACTGGAGGCCACTGCAGTCACAGATCAAACCAACAAGTCATTCTGCCTGGCTGTAGCTGTCATCGAGGGTGAGTTCGCGTTATCACCGAGGTTTGTTTACATACCGGTGCATATGTCTATATGCCGGTGTAACAGCTCAGTAATGGCGTCGCCACAAGATGGCAGCCTACACAGAACGCTCGTCGGATCGGTTCAGAAATCATCGGGCCAATCAAATTGCCAGGGCGGGCTTTATACGATCATTGACAGGTGGTCTTCAGGGACGTAATCATCACGTTATCAAAGAGGCTTGTTGAAGATGACTGCAGCTGGAGAATTGAGATGTACAGATTCCGCTGCCGCGTCTGTTTTAAAATATAAATCGACAGCGCATTCATTTTAATAGACAAACAGAGAACTGCAATCAAGTCATTTGTCGATCGGAAAGATATTTTTGCCGTCCTTCCTACATGATTCGGGAAAAGTGTAACTCATCAGCTGGCTCTGACGGTCGCTAAGAAGATGGGACGTAATGAACAGCCTGTGGTCGTTGTGGTTTCTCCTTTGGTGGCACTCATGGAGAAGTAAGTAAAAGAAGTAACACTCGTTATTTAACTTCTAAAATAAATAAAGTAGGCTACGTTCTGTATTTGAAAACTGCGCTATGCAAAGGAGTTGACTTATGCGTTGCTCTGATTGGTTGGTAGGTCTACCGACTATCCAATTGAGTGCAGAGGTTTTGTTTTTTCCTGCTTCGGTTACGACACGCCTCATAATCAAAGCCCAATGGAGGAGTTTCAGACTCTTTTTTTTTTGTACTTTTTTATTTTTTATTTTTTTTATTTTTTTATTGCAACATAGAATATACAAAGAGATTTACATGACCATACAGCTCACAACAAATAGAAAATACAGAAGAAAAAAAAAGAAAAGAAATAGACCATTTCACAAGATGTAAACAACACTGGTCCAGAAACACTTCCTGTTTCAGTTTGTAACTGTTTTCTTTATTCCACATGTAAAGAAAACATCTTAAAGATGTTGGTTTAACTTTTTGATTCAGTTTTAAATGTTCTGTTGGTTGTATTTTATCCCAGCTTTTATGTAGCGTTAAAAAACTGAAACAGGAAGTGCTTCTGGACCAGTGTTGTTTACATCTTGTGAAATGGAGAAAAATCATGCCAGGGGTAAAGTTACAATAATTTAAAGTTACAAAATACTTCATAGGTCTTTCTTGCTTTTTTGTTTTTATCTAATGAATTACCATATAGTTTAATCTCTTTCATAAAGTGTTCAAAGCTTGGCTTAGCTTTAGCCCATTTTTTCACATGAATGTGATATTTTCCAAGTTGTATAAGGAAGCACATGGTACTTTTGGAGTCAACATTGTCCTGTACGAAAAAAAATACAACATCAAAAAGCTCAATTTGTAGATATGTTTCAAATAACTTAGAAATGAATTTTGAAACATCCAACCAAAACATTTTTGAATAAATACAATTAAAAAAAGATGAGTTACAGATTCATTGGCATTGCCACAAAATTCGCACAAGTTTTCAATATTCAAATGGAAACGTTCAGAAAGTAATTCCTTGACAGGGTAAATTCTGTGTACAATTTTATATGATACCTCTCTAATTTTATTATCAATACAAAACTTACTTGTTACAGACCAAACTCTTTTCCAATTAATATTTTCAAATTTAGATGACCAAAAACCTGTTGAGCAAGGCAAAAAGTTTGTTTTTAAAGTATTTCTAATATATTTGTTACTGCATTTATCTATTAATATATTAATATCCCCAATAAATATTGTGTCAAAACAAGAACTGATTTGACGATCTATATTTATAGGGCATAATCCAGAATTTCGTAAAAGTGAAACTACTCTGCCAGGGATTGCATCTAAAACAATAGCATATTCTTTTGGCCTCACAGGAATCATGAATTTATTGAGAAATTCAGGATATGTTAAAAGTAAACCTTGTTCATTAAGCAACTGATTAACATTAAGGATTCCATTGTCGTACCACGTCTGATTAAAGATTGATTTTTTTTTGTACAAGATATCTTT